TTGTAAACAGTCCTACAATCCCCTCCTCGGCCTCTGGAAACTGTAAGAACGATTAGTGCAATCATTAAACTGGATTTGGATTTGTCTTTTAAAGAAAAACGGTTTGTCCTTTTTTTAATACATTGTGGAGAAATTAAAATTATTATCCCCTCCTCCCCCCATCTACCCCCCACACACTTCTTATTCATTATGATCTATGTATGTCCATTATGTACCAGTTTCCCCCCCCCCCCCACCCCAGTTGTTCCTTTCGGTTCGGTGTTAAAAGTTTGGCACTTAAGGTCTCTATGCTGCGGGACATGATTATATATTTATTACTGTCATTTACATCTGCAAAGAAAATCTAACGGCAGCAATGATCTGGAACCAAATATACAGTATTCCTAATCGAACTGCATAAATCAAAGAGAGAGAGAGAGAGAGAGAGAGAGAGAGAGATAAATAGAAAAAGACGGTCAGAGGGACAGAGAGTAAGTAACACGTTTGTTTCTTACTCGGAACTCTCCTAAAAGCGACAAAAATGACAAGAGTTAATTTGCAATCGGTTGGGTTCGCCTTCCTGACCACAGTTTGAATGTACTGATGAGAAGCGCTTTCTCTCCTTCGATGGATCAGCAAATCCATTCGAGGATCTTCGGTCCAACTTTTTTTTGAAATAAAAAAATATATATTTATATGGTTTTTCATCTAATTCCTTGATTTAATATTCCCGCGTGCATTATGGATGGATCACTACCACAGTTGCATTTAAGCACCAAATATATATATACATATATAAATATTTTAGAAATAAATATATAATAGCATAAACTTATCAAGTTTTTTTTCCAAAAAAGGCACTTAATCGATTCCAATATATTTCCCATATTTTGTGCACCTAATTGGAACATTGGTAACTTTATTTTAAATAATTAAGTTGTGATAATTAAATAATTTCAGGTGTTGCTTCGGGGCAGACAATATTCAAATGTACTAATTATAGTTAATTGAGATGTTTCCTCGCTGTCATTGTACGCTAAAGACTATATAATTGTCGACAGTTGCTCCCAGTAAAATTCAAAGCAATTATACCCAAATGCAAAATTAAAGCCTCGTGCAAAAAAAACTTAATTATTTCTTAATTGTTGTTAATTATTAAATAAAGTCAAATGGGCCTTGATTACATGTTAAGACAAATATGAGTTGGAAAACGAAACCAGTTTTAAAATTGTGATTTATAGAATTGCACTTGAGTTGGGAGGATTTAATTCAAAATGCTCGGATTTATCATTTATATGGGCTCACGTGGTCCCTGGGTCTTTGTATATTGAGAAGAAACTAATTATTTATGGACACTTGCTAAACAGTTTTAAAAATTCAGTGAAATGAGATTTACAGCGGAGCCCAGGAATGTTGATTACCTCGACAGAGGCGATTCCTAAACATTTACTTTGCCACAAAGTAGGCCAGCGTTCAGCAGTCACCTCTGCATCGGGATCATTGCCGTAGGGGCGAGTTTGGCAAGATTTATTAGATATTCCTTAAAATATGCATCCTGATCCCCATTTGGCTCAGGACCTAATAGAAGTGGAAATAGCTTTCGACTGCAATGCGGTTCATTCATCATCCTATCTGACACCAGGTTGATTTTTCTCTCTTATTTGCCGATTTATATATATATATATATATATAAAAATTCATACCCAGAAGATACATCAGTTTTTGTCCTTCTCGAGAAACCTGCTTCGCTCTCTCTCTCTCTCTCTCTCTCTCTCGAATTTACTATCAGTTGTACTACCTCTATTCGGATCTTTCCGCACTCCTCATCATTCCTTAATCCAGATTCAAGTTTTCTCTGGTCATTTTCGTCCATCTGTGTATCTTACAGTACACATACCTGATCATTTCAGTGTATGTCTGCAGTTGTGAAGAACGTTCCTCTCTATTTATGTATGTCCACATCCACTCTCCACCCCCCCCATTCATTATGATCTGTGTAAGTCCTTTGTGTACAAAACATGTTGTATACTCTATTTATATATACTGTGGACACATATCTATGTATACTTATCTGGCCTATAGAAATATAGTAGGTACCCATTGTATAATAGGTACCGAACTGTAGAGGTACCAATGAGCATCAAATAAAACTAATGGAAGAATATTAAAATATTGAAAGCTTATTTATATACGGCATATTTGCATTCATGTTCGTCAATCTATTATCCCTCCCCCCCCCCCCCCCCCCCCACACACACACACCTCTTAAACTCTTTTGCGTCTCAACTATTTAGTCAATCTGATCATTCTATTTGTTACAAAAAATATCCTGGGTTAACTTTTTAATTTCCCTCTAGTCTCTCCCCCTGAATATAGTTTATTCATCCTGAAATTGTACCTCCATTCAAGTTACCCCCCCCCCCCCCGCCCCCTTCAGTGATTTATCACACTATTGCTCTTCTACTTGTTTTCTTCTCCCTGTAGCGAACCTGTCTGGTCATTGTGAAACACGCACATACATACGGTGGTGCGGTGTTAAACTAACACAATATAATTGGGACAACTTATTTCATGTATTGCTTCAATGCTTCGAGACACTTTAAGGACGCGCTCGAAATGAAACGCGGGCCCGTGTATCACCACAGAAGGTTTTAGCAGATAATTAAAGTTGGCAGCGAATACTGGTTTAAGGCTTCAGTGTTTGGAAGTAAAATTAGACACTCGGCGTTACCACCTTCATCAGAACATAGCCCCGCTTGGGCTTTCGGGGAAATGCTCTCATACCCTTTGCAATCTGAGCAGCAATTTTATTTATCTCCCCCCCGTTATCTGTCCCACAGACACACCTCTCTGATTAGAGAAAGCAAGAGAAATAGATGGATGGATATTTGGACACACGCAGACACAGTTGGAATAGCCTCCCACACATCTCCCCACGCCAGCACAGGGAGGAGAGTGCGCAACACATACGTGTTGCTATTCTACTGTAAGACCCTCACGCTCACTCTGCCGTCCCAACTTAGTTTTCCAAACTGTTTCCTCATTCAGGTGGGATATCAGCAGTACCAGGTCTTCGCTATTCCGCAAGCACTTGGAACCGACCGAGAAGCGGCTGAATCCATCAGTCTGGGAACACATCTGGCACTTCGACTAATCTGGTGCTGTGCTGTGCAGAGATCCCATTCATTAAACAACAACAGTATACCTGAACAAGTTGGGGCACATTAATAATCCAAGTGAATTCAACCTCGAGTCGCCAGCAAACCTTTGCAAACCTGGGGAGGTTTGGCTCGCACCGTTTTGGGACAGTTCAATCATCGATTTTTATCATCTCCCCAATCCCAGCAAAACATTTGGTTTTAAAGTCAGTGCCAACGCGGAGAGAGAGAGAGAGAGAGACACACACACACACACAAATTAAATTGTATTGGAACATTGTCATGGGGACATTACTTTGGGGGCTGCTACTGGCGGATGTCTAAAATCTATGTGAACTTTTATGCCACGATCTGAGCATAAAGTCGCATTACTTCTTGAATACATTCCGCGGCTCGAAAGTTCACATTGGATCTTTCTGGAGGAAAAAAAAACAGGCGCGTTTGTGCCGAGTACAAAAGCCTCTTTATATATAATCATGAGCAGAATTCCTGGTCTTTTAACAAAAAAACATACTTTTGTTTAAACGTAAATAATAAAAATATCCAGAGGCAGGATTTTTTTTTTTTTTTTTGGGGGGGGGGGGGGGGGGGGCGGTAAGGAAGATTGGAAAAAGACTTGTTTAAAAAAAAAATCTATTTGCAACTCGTCAACGAAAAAGCAAGTCATAAAGTCAGAAGCTTGGAATCACACTAAATTCTCACCAGTGGCTGCTCTCTGACTGTCAATGTGAAACCTCTCTGGTGCACAGGTTCCCCGACTTGAGGTGAATGGATGCACACAGTCGCTCTGGAGCGGAGAGTCACACTGTGGAGCGACTGACACCCATCCACTTGGTGTTAAATCTTCCAAGTCATCAGGTTGTCGGGATCACTCCCCCGATCGAAAACAGGATCGACGTCTCTCGGGCGCACCGGTGTGTGTGTGTGTGTGTGTGTGTGTGGGAGTGTGGGGGTGACGCCGAATTGTGACTGATATCGGTTGATAATTCAAGATTTTTAAGGACATTTCCCCCCACTCCCCCCCCCCCAAAAAAAAAAGGCAACTGCAAGACCTTACCCAACACGAGGCACTATTAGAACTGTAACGCGAGCGCACATTCAACTTAACTTCTCCAATGTGCAAAGCAGCGAATAAATCTGCCCAACACAGTGGGAAATATTATAAGAAACAACCGAATTATATGCGCATAAAAAACATTAGCTAGCTCGTATGTATCTATCTATCTATGTATCTCTGCATCAACCTCCATATACTCCGAAAGAATAGGATAAGAGAACGCAGAGCAGCTGCTACTTGAAGAAAAAATAGGCATTTATATTTTAAGAGTCAAACTCAGGCTTACCTTTCTGTGGCTGAACCTCTTTTTTTTTGCAGTGGCCCAAATAAGGCGGATTACACTCCGTTTGTGAGCTCCTCAACCACACGGGAGAGAGGATAAGACGGAATACTCAGTCGTTCAAGTAAGACGATGCTGCCTTGCCTTTTTTTTTGTGTGTGTGTGTGTGTGTGTGGTGTTGTTTTGCTTCCTCTGTCTTCAGACACCTCTCGCCTTTTCTTTCTGTCTTCTCTGTCTCTCTTTTCTGTTTCTCTTTCTCACTCTCTCTCTCTCTCTCTCTAACACACACACACACACCCACACACACACAACACACACACTTGCACAGGAAAGTTGTAGCCAATGACAGGGTAGGTTGCCATCTGCTGGGAAGCAGCCTGATGCAGGATTTTAAAACACACTCACTGGCGTGTTTCAGGAGCCGAGAGCAAGTCTGCAAGATTTCAGTGGTCCTTCAGTCTGTCAATCAAAATATGCCCTTTTCTCTCTCTCGCTCTCTTTCTCTCTCTCTCTCTTCCCCCTTCTCACTTCTGCACAAACTTCTAGCTCAACAATCTGCGTCACACTCCCCATCCACACAGCTCAAAACAGCTTCAAACATCATTAAAACACATTCAGGAATCTCTACTCTAATATGTTTTGACACAACAGGAGCATTTTGCCCCCCTTTTCCTGACAGAACCAAATTGCATTAGTATTTAAGTGGGTAGCACCTACTGTATATGAATTGAATATATATATATATTTTTGCTGGAGCTATTTTTTTTGGTACAGAGTTGACTAACTCAACCGTTGATTTTATTTGCTTTTCAGATTTGTCATGCTTTTCGCAGCAGAATGGACGGCTCTAACTCTCTGGATATTGCTAATAGAGCCCAGGGTTCTTCCCATACAATCTCTCCCAGCCCTGACGGCTTAAGATGGGATTGGGGCAACACGACGCCATTCCACACACCAAAAAAAAAAACCCTGCCTTAAAATGACTACTGGTAAGAGGATTAAAACAATAATGCCCGTCTCTTCTTGATGTGTTAGATACCGTCTACCTCCAATAGTATTAAAAAAAACTTTACAGTCTATACTATACAGTGTATACCTTTTAATGCTTAAAGCAAATCTCTAAAACGAGGAAGAGCTGTAACCAGTTTCTAGTCAGTTTGTTTGACTGCTAGTTGTCATTGGTGGTGCTTCTATTTCATTTGCACATCTAACTTTGGTCAACTTGGCATTGTTTCGGTCTTGTGTTTATGCCCTTGTTTCCCTACTTTTGTTTTTGCACACCTTTTCTTCCAGGACTCGCTTGTCTCCGGGCTGCTGCTGTTGTTTGGAAGGCCTCTCTCCCAAACACTGGCTGCCTATATGTTTTAAGTTTCCACCCAGCAAGGCTTGCCTTGTCTCATGCCAACTGCGGGTCTACAGAATGAAAAGGGATTAACTTGTGAACTGCTGAAAGTAGAGACTTAAATGGGCGCAAAATCTCTCAAATGAGTCATTGTGGGCGCCGTTCTAAAGCAATTAAAGCGAGAATAAATTCCTCTCAGCTTTTCCTTAAAGCTAGCTTTCAGTGGGGCTTAACGCAGACTAACGTCCAGTCCATCAGAAGATTTCAAGTAAAATATTAAGAAGGGCTGTTTTCTCTCTCTGGTCCTTCTTCCATGCACCGTGTCTTTTCATTTTATTTCAGAACTCCACAAAACTCTCCTTTCTGTTTTACAAGTTTTTTTTTTACGCCTCGTCTTCCTTCCTTACTTCCTTCACACCCTTTTCTTTCTCCATCCCTCCCCTCCATCCCTCCCTCCCTCCCCTCCCTCCATCCCCCATTAACACGAAATACCCGGACAGTCCTCAGTTCAAGCTAAATAGGAAGGTGGTGATATTTCCCTGAGCGATAGGTAATCAATACGTGAGAAAAGGAAGAGGGAGTGAGTGAGACACACACAGAGAGAGAGAGAGAGAGAGAGAGAGAGAGAGAAGGAATGACTTGGATCATTTCAGAGTTAGATAACCAACCCACCGCCTCCCTCCCTGGTCTCCCCTAAAACAACTTAACATCAGAGAGTGGGGGGGGGAAGAAGCGTTTGGAGTGTCAGCTAATTAATAGATCTAATCACTTTTACTTCATGAATACATTACATTTCCAGCCCCTTTTGCTCTTTTCTACTTTCTTTTTGCATCTAACCCGTCCAAGGGTACCCAACAGCTGCTCATTTAAAGGCAATTAATCATTTTGATGTATCGTTTAAAATTGACTGGTTCCTGGGGACCTTTTCTGACAAGAATAACAAAGCAATTTGCCAGCAGCCATCTCCACGACATGTTATTAGCGCTGGCTTCATCTGAGCAGGGCTGTGAGAGAATTAGGCAGCAGTCTGTGTGAATAGACCTACCTGTTAGTGACGATCTCCTTTCCCTGTACCTGTACTTCACACGCGGACCAAAAGAAAATCGTTTTATTGATGACAAGAGCCGCCAATTCTCCTTTTAATCTCGCTTAAGAAAGTTTTAGGTGACTGGAATGTCATTTTCTTTCATTTTTTTTTAAACGAAACAAAACAAAAAAAAAAAAAACCCCTCCACCGCCCAAAGAAGGAGTTTAAGGTGGTTTGAATGTCACGAAGAGAATGAACAGAAACGCTGCCCCTACATCACCGCCTTTATTCACATCACTTATTTTTTCTAATCATTGATTCTTAATTAAAACCGAGAGCACTTTATCTTGAGGTTTTGGAAACCAAATGACTGCAAAGCGGAAACAAACATCGAAGCCAAACGTGTTCGGCTTTTATCAGAGAGCTGAACGCGTGGGATTTCACAGATTGCGCGTTTTGTTACACTATTTTAAGTTCGAATTGTTGAAGATTATATGATATCCCATTTCTCTTTGCAGACTCTATTCCAGCGTCGTCCGCACAAGTTAAAGATCATTTTAATTGTCAAGTCTCAAACGTTATGCAGTCGTGGCAATGAGATTTAACATGCTGTACTGAAACTGTGGCGTGAACATATGCGCAACTTTTAATTGCCCATGAATAAAATATTTGATCAATACTATTGAACAGACATTTTTCACTTTTCACTAAAATAGACAAAATGATTTCTTCTGCTGAATTCCCAGTGTTCATTAATCGTTCTCTGAAACAACCGTGCCCTATGCCAAACCCTCTCGGTGTTTGCATTTGTTCTCGATTTTATTTTGTGTATCTAAACGAAAGTCTTTCCTTAACTCTGCATATCATCACAGTGAAGTGTGCATCTATTTTCCTACAAACCCCCCCCCCCCCCCCCCAGCAGTCATTACACTTGAAAGCAACTACCTGTGAAGTGCTTTGACACGTTTCGATATAATAAAGGGCTATATTCTTTATTTAACTGGCTCACTCATTAGTTGTTCTATTTCTGCAGCCCTGATAGCTTAAAAGTAAAATAATTTCATATTTTAAAACCCCGTCTCAAGAAAAGCCGAATAAGAATGGAGCAACTTCTGAAACTCGAATCGAGAAGGCGATATGGGGAATATTGGGGACATCGCAGGTGAGAAATAAAATAAAACTGTCCCACCCATTTACCGGGAATACAAATATGCACACAGATATCCCGCTTTTTGTAATTGTAACCCACCCGAATACCAATAAGAATAAGTAAACCCTATTTTTTTTTATTAAAAAAAAGTCTCACTTAAGATTTGCGGTTTGGAGACTTGGAAACAAAAAAAAATCAATGCAGTATTCCCCTGCTCCGGTTTGTAATCTGCTCATTCTTTACGCCTTTGAGGCGTTTTCTCCGGTGAACTTTTAGCTTTGCTCATATTAATACACTTTCAAACACCTTCATCGACCAAATGGTAGCAATGGATATATTTATCGGTATACTTATAGATGTAGGTGTATACATATACTGCACACATAAACGGCCCAAGCAGTAGCAATACAAACCTGATATGAACTGGCTCCTGGCAATATCCTGACAGACTCAAATTGCAATGACAGTATAGTCGGTTTTTGATCTGTGCAAATCTGATTATGTGCAACTTTTATTGGTCTTTTCCGTCCATCTCCAGCGTTGAATACAAGTGTTTCACACACAATGCGAACAATGCCATCGTTTTAATTAGTTTCAATTGAACTGTACGACATCAATCACACTGTACTCACATATGTGGGCCATCTTGACTCAAATAGCCTCATATATACAGTATCATGGCTTCGGAATCTTAAAAATGAACGAACCGGTTTCTCAATTGAGTTTTCTTTTTTTTAAAAAAAAACTATTTGGGATCCGCGATGCAGCCATAGAGAGAGAGAGGAGAGAGAGAGAGTATAATTATCAATACAACGTCTTCAATTCATCCTTCAAAGTTTGAAAGTCGGACAATATATTATTCCAATCACAAAATAGTACAGAAAAAAAATAATTTGAGGAGTACTATATTCTTTAGTTATGTTCCAGTACTTGGTAGATATTAACACAAGTTAGGGGACTGGGAAGGCAATTTATGAAAGTCTACTTAACCGTAAGAGAAACCATTAAAAGGCTAAGTAACTTGAAGTGTACAGTTTAATAGTAATCCTATTATAATAATCCTTGGATTTGATATAGCGCCTGGTCTAGTCCAAACATCTCAACGTACCTTATTACGTTTTCTGTAAAGTGTAGTGACTGTATTTATCGGCAAAGTGGAAGCCAATTTGCGCAAAGCAAGGACCCACCAACAAATAATATGATAGTAGTGCTGCACTTCCATTTGATGTAAAGCGCGTTACCACGTCGTGGAGACGTCTCAAAGCGCTTCCCGTGATACTGTGTAAAGTGCTTTTTGACGGTGTATTTTTGTGGACGAAATGATGAAACAAGTACGATGTGAATGATGGCATGTTTTGATCTGGGGGGTCGCTGGCCAAGACACCGGGAGAAACTCCCTTCTCTTTTTCAGTAGCACCAGAGTCTCTTTAAACACCACATAACGGGACGGGACTCAGACGGGACCCAAAGACATGAACTACATCGTTAGCAAAGGCCGAACCGATATCCAAATCCCTGAAGTTTAGGCAATGAAAGAAACACTGCTGTACATACATATGCAAAGACCCATTTCACTGCTGCTGGTTATGTTGTCTCGCAGTTCCCTTTCGCTTGTGGTGGAACCTGCTCTTAAACAGACGATTTCTGACAACCTGAACATCTAACCACATTTGGAGAGAACGATTTACTTTACCCGACTAAAAGCTTGTTAATTTTTTTTTCTTCTTCTTCTTCTTCTTCTTCTCACTCCTTGCTAAAGACAATGCTGGGGCACAGCTACTCGTTTTGTACAGAAAAGAAGATTTTTTAAAAAAAAAAATGCAAACAAATCCAATGACAAGGGTATTTCCACAGGGATTAAGACAATTAAAATATTACGCAGAAGTACTGTTAGATATTCATGTCGGCCGGCGCCGAAGAGAAGCGAGTGAAGTTTTCAATGCATTTGCTCTCTCCCCCCCCCCACCCCCCACCCCCACACCTCCCCCCACCCCTCCAACTCACTCTCTACTCCCATCACTCAAACACAGCATAAATTCTCCACTTGTAAAGAGCCGCTATTAGGGCTTTAATACTGGCTAGACTCAGAACTGAAGATATGCATGTTGAATCGACTTAGGGATTTCCAAATCCTCTGCTTAACCCTTTTCAAAAGACCCAAAGATTTTCTGGAGAGAAAAAAAGTTCGTTGTGTACACAGAGGTGTGCACAGCTATGTTGTAAAATGAGTAAAAGTGCAACAACAACCCTTTCTTTCCTCCGTTTAGTTCAGAGTCAATTGACAAAGAACCAAGATATTTGGCCACTTTAAATTAAACATTCAAATGCTGTTCGGAACATACGAACAGGTGGAAGAGAGGAAATAATCTCACACCATGGTGTGGAATTCCACTCGTACCTTTCTTCGGGTTTAAATTTACTGTGAACACAGACAGCACTGCGCAACGTTGGAAAGGATGTCACTAATCAACAGCAATTCTCTGAATTAAAACTCCTGTAATATACTGAAGTGCACCCATCACCGGACACATCACTTGAAATGGGAACCTCTGGCGCTGAGGCTGTGACTGTTTGTTGTTCAACGTCACTAACTTTACTGGATGCTGTTTTCGGACCAGACTAATTATTAGACGGTTCTCCCCCTCCCCAACACTTGCAGTAGTAGTATATTCTGTCGAACTTCTGGGGTATTCAACATTCTGGTTATGTGTGTGTGTGTGTGTGTGTAAATGTGTGTCAATGAGAGCTGGTGTCCGCTTGACTGTGCATAAGTGTGTGTACATATGGGTGAATAGGTGCAGATCTGGGTATATCCATCTGTGTACGTGTTATTGTGTATCCGTGTGCGTGTGTGTCTGTGTGCGCGCACGCGTTTGTATGTCCAACTGTTCCTCAAGCTATGTATAATGTATGCATACTCGATTCGGTCGATGTTTATGTGTGTGCACTTATTCTGTGTGATTTTGTTTTTGTTTTCGTGTTGCGGTGTATTCTTGTTTGTATATGAGTGCATGTCTATATAAGGTTTGTGTGTATGTGCGTATGTCTACATGTGTGTGTGTGTGTGTGTGTGTGTGTAGGTGCGGATGTGTATCTGTACATTGGTTGTGCTTGTGTGTGTGTGTACATATATCTGGATGGTGTGTTTTGCATGTGTGTATGTGCGTGCATCTGTCTGGCTGTCTATTGCTGTGTGTATATGTGCCTGTATATTGATGTGTGTCTGTGTATTGATGTGTGTCTGCGTCTGTATGTGCGTGTGTATGTATGCCTATATTTAATGTGCTTTTGCGTGTGTATGTGTGCGTATGTATGGATTTTATGCGTTTCTGTCTTCTATCTGGAGAGCAGGCCATTTGTCTTGTGCGGAAAGTATTTTGAATTACTTTGAACTCTCGTCAGAATTCAAATAAGGTATTTAATCTGCATTGGAGTAAAGGAAGCGGCTCTCACCAGCCCATACTATGCTGTTGCAGGAAACTGGAAATCGCTGCTGACAATATCTATGGTATCGCTGAGGATTTGGGGGGGAATGTAAAGCAAATAATTTAGATGGAAGTTGGGAAGTTAAATCTCCCTCTCAGTAACTTGTCCGCTCATATATATATTTAACTTTCTGGAACATTTGGAAAATTGTAATTGAGAACGAAATGCTTTACCGCTGGTTTGGCATCTGAATACATGGACTATGCTCCGTTGAATTGGTGACTTTATTTCACTCGACATAATATCGTTAAATGTCAGATGAGAGCAGAATATTAAATGTGCTTACAGTGACAGTCTGAATATTATTGTAACGTGCGTGTCAATAGGGTACAGTCTTGTGTTTCTCGAACTGAGTCTGTCAGTTACATAATGTGCTTGAAAGCTTCCTCTATACCCACTGTGAGAAACATTGCCTCAAAATAGAATGGGTGGGGGGGGGGGGGGGGGGGGCGGTCTGTGGATGGAAATAAAGACTGGGCTCTTTGATACTGTATTAGCGAGTTGCTCTCTTTAACGTTTTTTTTTAAGACTCAATTGCAAAAAGAAAAAAGAAAAAGAAAAAAATCCCTGAAGATCCGAATGGTTTAAGAAAGGGGGGGGGGTGTCATCCTATAGCTTTTTTTAAAAAAAAAATAATATAAAAAAGCAACTTAACTGTGGAAGAAGAGAGAGAGAGGGGGGGTGGGGGGGGGGGGGGTGAATCCATATTGCCAGCTATTGAATCTGGCGGCAGGAGAATTTACATGCGGATTTGTGGTCAAGAGCAACCTAGGCAAGCCTCCCATATCCGTGGATTTGCACCTATCTGCCTCAAAGCAGCACAAGGAAGGTCTTTGTAAAACCCTAATCCTGAAGCAACACAGCTTTACCAACACGAAGGGATAAAAGGACGATAAAACCACAACGTTATGGTGGCAAATCTTCTCTAATCCTTCGATTTAGCAAAACAAAGCCTCTTGCTATAATCCGGTATTGCTTTAAAAAGCTCAGATTTTGTTTTGGTAAGAAGATGATCCAAACGACTAATTTTCTAAGAGACTAACGCA